ATGTGTTGCCATCCTACTCCAGACTGCAAAGTGTATTTGTCAGTTTTTCTTTACGTAGCCCAAGCCCTGTCACTCTTTATAGCGGTATGCATATGGGAGGAGCCAGTGTTTGAATGAATGGATAGATGGGTGAGTGCCTGTCCCCAGGCCCTCATCACTTATTAGAGAGCCTCAAGGAATGGGAAGTGAGACTACTGACACTTACCTTTTCTTTCTGAGTGGAAGTCTGAATCAACCTGAGTTTCCAACACTCCTCTCCAAATCCTCCAGTTTTACTGCTTTAAATTCCCTGATACCATCCACCCCACGGGTGGCCATTTCCTGTCATCTCTGAGAAACAGGCCAGTGGCCTATGAAAAAACCTGAGGATGGGAAGATTTTCAGCATATAAATGCTGCTAAGATTTTGGGGGGACAATGACTACTTGGGAGTTTTCACCCCTGTTTTTCTCTCTCCTAATACTGCAATAGATTGAAAAAGCTTCCAGCCGGGAGAATTATTGCCTCTTCCTGCCTGGAATTTAAATCTTTGTTCAAAGACAGCTGGTTTTAATTGAAAGTATTCAGTCAGTCTCTGCTCTGCTTTCTACCTGTGTCCCTTTTCTTGACTCAGAGGGGTAAATAATCTGGAGTGAGGCTTTGGGGTATGAAGAATGTGTGAGAGGGGTGTGGGAGACACTCCAAATAACTCCTGCCTTTAAAACACCACCTTTTAAACAGAGCTTATCCAGAATGATAAACACCTTGTAGTGGAAATTTTACTGGGATAACCAAGCTCCTTAGAAGTTCTAGAGGACAAAGGAGCAAGAATATTGTATGCGGTTGCTTCAGGTCTGGATTTCAGTATAGTTGAGGAAAAAGGGATCAGGCTTCACTCTTGCTATTCACCCATTTATTTATTCAGCCCTGTGGTACTTATCAGGTGCTGCACATGCTCCATCCCAGTGATCACGTGACAAGTATTGTTCACATTTTACAGTTGAGGAAAATGAGGCTCAGGATGATAGAATTCCTTATGCAAATTCTCGTAATGCTCTAGTTTCCTATGTATATGGTAGAAAATCTCCCCCAGCTTACTGATTTAAAACAACAGTAGCTATTCCTCTGTGGGTCAGACACTAGGGAAGTTCTCAGAGGGTGGTGCTAATGTGGAGCCTCATGCAGTCACAGCCAGATGATGGCTGGAGCCAGGTGAGCAGAAGCTAGAGGGGCCACCGGCTGGGCAGGAATCGTCACTCTGGCTCCCCTCAGGTCATCTCAGGACTCAGGGCACTCAGACCACTTGCATGGAGGCTCAGGTCTCCAGCTCCAGGATCCCAGCAAGCAGGCTACAAGTTTGACTGCCTTTTCTGACCTTGCTTCAGAAGTCACACAATGTCACTTCCTCCCACTTCTGCCATCTGCTTGGTTAAAAGTCATTTACAAGCCCATGAAAATTCAAGGGGAAGAGATGTAAACCACACTTCTCTGTGGAAGAAGCGTCAAGGTCATCTTGCAGAATCACACATCAGATGGGAGATATTGTTGCAGACATCTCTGGAAAATACAATCTATGTGCACAGCATGTGGCAGAGTCAGGGTTTGGATTAAGCGTATTTGTTTCTGAAACTTCAGCTGCAACTTTTTGCCTCATTCTATAGGTACCCCTGCTTTCCTCCGTGAACTGAGGTCTTCCTGTCAGCCCACACAGCTGTGATTTAGTCTCCTTGAGCTGATACAGACTGGATGGGTTAAAGGCAGCCAGTTTTTCCCACAGGCCCTGGTTATGAGCCTGCCTCCAGGGTCTGCAGGCCATAGAAGCCACACCCAGTGCCAGCATGTGAACTTTTAAAGAAGGGGACAGGAAAGGTCAGTCACATCCAGAGGAAAAAAGAAGGTGGCAGCCCCGGAGCACAGACAGCCTGCAGTGCAGCTCGCTGTCATAAACAACTTGTCTGGTGTTTTTCCTTCTCCCACCAGGCACTGGCCTGGGATGACTCAGGCTTTGACAGAAAAGGTGCCTTCAAGTCACAAAACAGTTCAGGGCAGTGGAAAACTCATGGTTCTGGAGTCAGACATGCCTAGATTTAAGTCCGGACTCTACCACTACCAGCTATGTGGCCTTCGACAGTTTCCTTAACCTATCAATATCTTCTTTGCTGGGTTATTTTGACAAATACGTTGTATGTAGGCAAAGCTCCCAGGACAGTAGCAGATACATAGTAGGAGCTCTGTGGATGTCAGTCTTAAAATCCTGGGCCTCGTCTTGTCCCAGTCGAGGGACTTCTTGAAGAAAGTGGTGAGAATTCACTTGCACAGTTCACAAAGGTTGGTCTCTTTCCAGAGCCCTGAAGAGAAGGGGCCCAGAAGCCCCACTAGCCTCAGCCAGCCCCAGAGTCAAGCCTGCAGCAACTGCCCACCCACTCTGCAAACGAAGTCATCTCCATGTTTTTCCCCCACTCCACTTTGTCCTCTCTACTGTGACCTACCATGACTCTTCCCGCCAAACATTCCCCTCACACATGTCCTGGCAAACCACACACAGGCTTTCAAAAATTCTTGCTTGGATGGATGGATGGATGGATGGATGGATGGATGGATGGATGGAAAAATCATTCCTGTATCATTGCTTATTTTATGTTCTTTATCAGAAAGGCGTGTTTCAATTGTTCTGCTGTTACAGTCCACCTGTGAGTGGTCCTTCCCCATAGACCCTCTTAGCCCAGTCTCTGAGTCCTGCTTTGACAAATGTCCCCATAAATGCCTGCTCCTGAATCAAAGGTGTGAGCCTCATCACTCAATGGACTGAGGCTTCTGACCATGTACCAGGTGAGAGAGTATGGATGTGAACATGAAACAAGGTGACTCCCGGAAGCACCAGAGAGGAGGGATCCAGGTTCAAGCCCCAGCTCCAGAACTTACAAGATGCCAAACATTCGAGAAAATCAGGTACCTTTTATGAGTGGTGGGGATAATGGTAGAACTACCTTATTGGGTTGTTGTAAGGATTGCGTCAATATACATAAGAATGGCCAGCACAAATTAAACATTATAGAAGTATTAGATATTATTATTTATTCACTTAACAAATATATTTCACACATTGCCAGGTGACTATGAGTATTTAGATGATGGAGTAAGAGTTTCACTTCTGCCCCCAGCACTTACAGGATTGAAGAGGCTACTGAAAGGACAGTTAAAACACAGGATGACAAGTTGTCTAATTGGTGAAGAACTAGAACAGTCTGTGGGAATCTAGAAGGAGCCCTGTCCCAGTACGGGCACTGAGAAGACTCACGCAGGGAAAGATAACTGAACTGCGCGGTCTGGAGCCTGAGGAAGAACTGGCCCTGGAGCACAGGAAGTGGGAGGGAAGTTCCCTAACTCAGCAGTGGGAAGGGCAAGGGCTGGACAGTGGGAGGCAGTGAGCAAGAAGCTGAGAAAATAATCAGGGACCCAACTACGAACACCCCTATAAGTCATGCCAGAAATATGTGCTTTAAAGGCTTCTGGGAGTCACTGATGTGCTTCCCTCAGCTGTGTGGCATGGAAAGATTTTATTTTAGAGCAACTCCACTCTGTGGCTCTGCTGTAGAAAATGTTCTGGATGGGGAGGGAGGCGTGCTATGGCAGGAGGCCCATTATGGCAGGACGACAATAATCTAAGGGAAAGATGATGCTGGTCTATTGGGGGCGGGGATGGAAATAAGCTGACTGAGTCAAGAGAAAGAAGGTCTCATGGGGAAGGGCTGGTGATGGTTTGTGTGTTCGGAGCTGAGAGTGGGGGGGAAGAGTGGTTAAGGGTTAGGTGAGTAAACATCCATTCCGTGCCCTATGATGTAAGTGACAGGTGCTTTGAATGAAGTCGGCTCAGAAGCACTGGAATTGTGGCACAAGGACAATACTCACAGCCTTGGGAAGAGAGGAGAGGAGTATACTAGAAGTCTTTACTAAAGGGACATTGAGGAATTGGAGAATTGATGGGTACACATCACCCAAGAGGAAATGGAAGAGGCCCATCAGGCAGAGGAAATAGGATATGTGAAACCTAGAGATGGAAGATCCTATACACAGTAGATGCTCTCTACTATTGATTAAATGAGTGCCGTACTAATTCATACTAAGGTGTTAAAGGTCGGTATGGAATTGGCACCTCCCTGTGGAGGTTGTGCTTTAAAGAAAAGGTCATAAATACTATGCTAAGAATTCATTGTTGGTAAAATGTAAAATGTCAAGGTAGAATGGAGATGGTCTTTAAAGTCTAGCTTTTTAGGGCCAGGGATATAGCTCAGCGGCATAAGTGCTTGCCTGGCCAGCCTGAGGTCATGAGTTTGATTCCCGGTACAAAAAAAAAAAAAAAGACTTAGCTTGGCCAGGAGTGGTGGCGCACACCTGTAATCCCAGCACTCAGGAGGCTGAGGCAGGAGGATCATTGGCGAGTTCGAGACCAGCCTGGGCTACAGAATGAGCTCAAGGCCAGCATAGTGAGACCCTGTCTCAAAAAGACAAAAAAAATAAAATAAAAATAAAATCTAGGTTTTACCATTATACCTGAGGTTACCAAGTAGCTGGCCGATTCCTGAGGGTCGGGCAAGCCCTGATCTTGTGCAACAAAGGTTCTCTTGCCTTTGTGTCTTGTTGAGATGGCTTAATCCTGGGTTACCTGAGGCCAGACCAGGGGAACTCAGTGATTTCCAAAGGGCTGCTATGCATTCATAAAACTACATGCACAGACTTTTGGGTAAGGCTATCTTACACCTCTTTACTAGCTCCTCCCCTTCCTATTTCTGTGATCTTAGCCAAATTACTTAACTTCTGTGCAATTTAGCTCTCTTATCTATCAAATGAGAATAATAGCAACAATCATCATCTAAGCTTTTGTGAAGATGAAGACAGAATATAACAAAAACTTAGAGCAGTGAGTAGTGTTACTCTTTCTGTTATTGTTACCACTTCTATTCCTAGGCCTCTTTTCACATTCCTTCTCTCCCCCAAGTCTCTCCTTAACACATATACCTGCAGACATGAAGCTGGGGCGAAACGTGGCAAGAACGTTCCTAGATTATTACCGGCTGAACCTCCCGTTGGAGAAGGTGGCATTTCCCATACCAAAACTACGGTAAGTAGCACAGCAGAGAGGTGGGCTTCAGTCTTATTTATCTGGCTTTTGGGGCTCAGGGCAACTTCCTCAGCTTCTCCCTGGCCCTCAGTTTCTCATCTGTGCTACAAAAGAGACAATCCTAGTCCTGCTCCAGAGACTCTATGAGTCAGAACAGCACATCTCCTAAGTCTAGAGTATCATTATGTACCATCTCCTGTAGTTTGTGAGTTGCAGTCCCAGACTGCAGCTCAGTAAGCCTAGGGCAAGTCCTTGGCTTATCTGGTTAGCCTGAGGATGTCTCGGGGTCCATACTCCACAGTGCAGTGAGTGATGCGTCCCTGAGCCCCAGGTCCACATAAAACCTGTATGACCACATGCTCTGATGTTACAGCAAGGGGGTGATCCCATTTTTGAATCTAACATGGGAATCACCAGAGGTGGGATGTTGCTGGGGGCTGAGACTGGTCCTTGTTCTATGTTAGTCTGAGTGTCTCCATATGCAACTTCATCTGCTAGTGCGTCCTCTAGGCTTTCTGTATCAACTCCAGGTTTTCCATTTCCTTGTCTGTAAAGTGGGTACAGTGGTGCACACCTTTCAAATTGTGGTGAAATATGCACCCAGCAACAGTGTACATTTATCCTATCAGTACATGATTTTCCCCTCCCTTGAAGACCTAAAGGTTTGGGGCTAGAGAGGACATACCTCTGAGACATTCAGTCCACCTCAGTGGAACATTCCACCAGCTCATGATGGTCTAGGGTAAGTCCTCTGATGGGGCCACCTTGCAGGTCCAGTGAAGAGAGAAGGCTGGAAGGTGAACATCCATCTTACCTGAGAGCTAGGCAAGAGCTGGACTTGCTGAGTGTTCCCATGACCGCTGGCAGCCAGCCCAGTGAGCATTTGGGGAATGACATCCCAAGGCATCTGGAATGTGCCGGCCCTGCCCTTTCTCTGGACCTCATCGCCTACTCCCCCAGTGGCCAAGCCTCCTGGAAGGACATGACAATGTCCAACAACCTGCTCCTGCCAGATCGTCCTTCCCATTGACCTTGCCCATATACTTCAGGCCTGTGCACTGATACATGTTCCTCCCCACCCTATCATTAATTAAACAATATAAATCACTGTTACTTACCGCATGAAGTACTTTTTACACATCATTATGTATATTCCCCATCTTACAATCAGGAAAAGGAGGTTCAGAAAGGTAGAAAGGATTGTCTGAGGCCACAGAGTTTTTAACAGACCCAGGATTTGATTGTAAGATCTTATGATTCCAGAGCCATTTAAACATCTCCGATAGAGGTTCATCAGTGTGGGTTCAGAACTCTCTCAGGCACCTAGGAGCTATGCAGCCATGTTCAATGTGCAGCCACAGGCCTCTTCCCCTCTTTTATTTATGTTATAATAGCAAATATAAAAATACAGAAAATTTTATTACGTATATATTAACTGCACTATATATTTTATATGCAGCCCAAGACAGTTCCCTTTCACTTGGTGTGGCCCAGGCAAACCAGGAGGTTTGACATGGGATCCTAGGCAAGTTGCTTGGCCTCTTAATGGTCTTCTCTACCCCTAATGGGGGTAATAACAACAACCTCTACAGATGATCTTAAAGATTCGCTATGAGCTTACTACAATGCCTAGCACCCAGTAGGTGCTCAAAAAAAATGATTTCATCTCCTCTAGCCTCTGGGTTGTAGTCCCAACTTCCAACCAGTTTATGATGGTTTAGGGTAAGTCCCTTGGCTTACGTGGTTGGACTTTGATGTCTAAAGGTCTACATGCTACAATCAAATGGGTCAGGCTGCTCTGAGCCCCCGGTCCACCTAGAGTCTGCATAACAATGTGCTCTGATGATACCTTGTCTAAGATTGTGCACAAATCATTTGTGTCCCCATCCTGAATATTAGAAACTCTTGCAGAAGGATCATACCTATTTTTTTCTCTCTACCCCTGTACTGCCTACCCTTCACTAAACATGCACTAATATATTCATTCATTCATTCATTCATTTTGGAAAAATAATACTTTATGCTGGGTCCCTGGCAGGAGGGAGGTGCTGGAAGGAGTTGGTGATGAAGGCATAACCCTTGCCTTTGTGGAGCTCAGCTCTGGAGAAAAATGCTTATTTCATTCTTATAAGCCATTCTCGATTAGTTAAAGTTCTTAAAAAATTAAAGCTTCATAAAACTCAAAAGAATCCTCAGAATCTCATTTACAAGTTAATTTGAGGATTATCTCTTTCAGGTCCTCTGTCAGCCTGAATAAAATTATTGTGATCCTTAACCACCTTCTTTTCACATGTTGTATCATCATAGACCAGTGAAAGAGTACTGACACTCGGGGAGATTTTCAGGATCATCTGGTCCTTCTTCACGATCCAGACGAGGACACTGAGACCCAGGGAGTGAAAGGTGCTGGTCAAGGTCACAAGTCAGAGCCAGGACTGGAGCCTAGTCCTTCCCAGCCAAGTGTGCTCAGTGTCAGTCTGGGAAGATAGGGGTGAGGGGACCCTTGAACCTGTGTCAGGGGACTCAGGGCAGACCTGGGGGCTCTGGTGTGAAATGCTCAGGACTCTCCTTGCTCTGAGCTTAAGCGCTCTCTCAGAAAGGTGCAGAGCTCCTTCCTTATTAGCCGACAGCCTCAAGGACTGCTTTACCAAACTATGTCTCTGGTTTAACAAACTATGAGCACCACTGAGCTTTAAATCGATAAGTAACCCTTTAAGAATGATTTCCCAGAAACATAAGCCTCTGAGTTCTAATTTTGAAATAGAGTACTCCTTCCCCCTTTTTATGCTATTATTTTCCACGAGAGCATCAAATAGCTTAAGTGAAAGAGCAGTTCTGGTTTTAAAGGGAAATTACATGTTTTGAGTCCAAATTAATCTTTGTTTTCTCCCATCTGTATGGATAATTACAATATGTCACTTTCCACCTACGTGCTGGCAGAAGCTGGTCGGCGTCCTTGGGTGCTGAGCGGAACAGCAACATTGGCACAAGAATTTGGGCTCGGAGACTTGTAGTTAATGACCAAAGCTGAGGCCCCACATGCTTTTTTACCACAGTGACACACAGGTCTAAAGCCCAAAAGACCCCCACCAAGTCAGACAGGGGAAGTGAGCAGGTGAAGTGAGCTTCCGGGGGTGGGTGCAGCCTGTGTGTGGAGGGCGGGCTGTCCTCGGTGTGGGAGATGGGCTAGGGCTCTGAACAAGCTGGGAGGCCCAGGGACATTTGAGAGAGAGAGAGAGAGAGAGAGAGAGAGAGAGTGGGGGAGTCATCAGCTGTTCAACACACTGGAGCCCTCATGTGCCAGGGCCCGTGCTCAGTGCTGAAGGATCACAGATAGCCCTCGCCTACCGGGAGCTCCCATTTACAGAGGATAAAGGCAAGTACATATGCAAATATCACAATACAGAACAGTGTACAGTAGGTACTTAACTATGTGTCAGATTATGCCCTCCTCACAAAGATCTTCCAAGGCTCCCGACTGCCTTCAGGGTAATGTTCCAGTAGCTCCTCTTCTTGCTACTCAAGACCCTGGCCTAAATTTTAAACTTCATTTGCTTCCTCCTACCACTGCCTTCATGAGCATCCGCTTCTACCACCTCATGCCCTGCACTTCCACCCACATTCATGCCTCTATGTTTCTATTTATACTTTTCCTTTTCCTGGAATGCTCTCCTTTTCATCTTATACATGGTGAACTCTTACTTGTCTTTTAGAACTTAGTCTAAATGTCATACCCTCTATTCTCTGTCCCTTTTTTCCACTTCACACAGAGCTGCTTCCTCTGTGTTGCGCTCCTAGTTGCATTTTGTATACATTGTAGACACTTCGTACACACGTTTGTATGATATGTTCTGTGGTCACTGTCATGGCGTCTTTGCCTGTCTGGCTTCTCCTTGGAAGCAGTCTTGGTCTGTTCTGGCTCTGCAGTGGATGGTGAAGGGCTGGCACAGACTTAGTCCTAAATTGATCCTGAATGTGACTGAACATAAAGTATTAGAACTAAAGAAGCCCCAAGAGATCATCCTTTTCAATCTTTTTACATGATAGAAAAGAAAAGTGAGACAGAACGAAATATTATTCTCTCGCACAATCTGGCAAGTGTGTGGCAGCTGACAGGTGCTTTTAGTGGAACTTGAACTTATTTTAAAGGATGTGAAGACTTTAGATTGATGAAAGAGAGAAGAAGGGACATTCTATGTTGGAAGCCAGGTTGTGGGGAGCTGAGAAGCAGAACCTAACAAGTCACATTCAGTGTATCTGACTATGACAAAGGCAGGATACTTAGAGTGAAAGGGGTGGTAACAAGATGATGAGAAGCTTATTTCCACACTCCTCAAACACCTACTCTACATCAGGCCTGAGCTTGGCTCAGGAATTACAGAGGAAAAGCAAAAGTACCGCACACTTACAGTCTCAGGAAATAAACACATGGGCAAAGAACAACCTAGAAAGTGGTGCATGAGGGCTGATGTGATATGCAAAGTGCTGCAGAAGCCTGCAGAAAGATGAGATGTATTTGGGGAGTGTCAGCTCCCAACAGAGGGGAGTTTGGAGAGGTAGAAAGGAGCAGAGCCTCTGCAGAGGCCACTGGTGAGGAGGTTTGCCTCCTAGTACCTCCTTTCTCTCTCTGCGCCCTCAGAGGTTCTCTGCCTTCCTAACCCCTCCCCAAGTCACTGTGCACACTTACACTCCTCCCCAGCCACTGTGCACCTTATGCCCCCTGCTGACACCTGATTGGGCTTCTCTCCCTAGGCCAGCACACCTTCTTTGTCCCCATGAAACCATATCCAGCTTATGTCCTATGCTTCTTCCGAGTGTTAAGGACTACATCCACCAGTGACATATAAATGGCACCATGTAACTTAAGACTTCTTCCCCAACCTTCATTTCACCAGACACTATGAGGTAGAAAGAGCACAGACTCTTCTCTTTAGGAATGAAGGAATGGAGGGTTAGGGAAAAGAAAAGGGCTGCTTCAAGGTCACATTTTCTCAAGGCTGAGCGTGTAGCTCAGTGGTAAAATGTTTGTCTAGCATGCACAAGGGCCTAGGTTCAGTCTCAAGCACCACAAAAACCAACTGAACAAACAAAAAGTTGGATTTCATTGTTATAAGCAACATCACAGTCATGTGCTTTGAAACACCAGGGTGTTATTGAAGACTGATTTCTAGACCGACTGACATTTACGCTAGGCAGTCAGTCTCTTGCCACATTAGCAAAGTCTTCAGTGAGTGCCAGTTTTCAAGTGAGGAGGAGCCCCTGGTGGGGAGATATGTCAAGGCAATGTATCCCTTTGGGTGCTGCCACCTCCTCTGTACTCTACTTTATTTAGGACTCTTCAATAATGAAGGAAAATGAGTATTCCATGGCCAGAGGGGCTGGAGATTTAGCTCAGCGGCACAGTGCCTGCCTGGCAAGCGTGAGGTTGTGAGTTCGATTCCTGGTACAGGAAAAAGAAACATCCATGGTCAGAGCATGATGAGCTACACAAAGCCACTTCCTTAGTCTGAGTTCAAACTTAGCTCAGGAGATTCCCATATTTACGGTACTTACCACCGACTGCTGCACACTACAATTATTACTTTATGTAGTTGTTTTCTACAACCATCTCCTCTACTAAACTTTATTAAGCAGTATGAGGACAGCATCAGTGTCTCTGCCTCATCCCTGTCCCCTCTGGAGTCTGTCAGAGCACAGCATGTAGTACATAGCCCCACACATCTGTAAGTTACATTAAGGAAGGGAAGATGTCAAGTGTGTCTACTCGTATTATTTCACTTAACCTTACAACACCGCTGCAAGATTGGGAGATTTTATTCTTGCTTTACAAATGAGGCTGAGAAGGTTAAGTAACCTTCCCAAGGTCATATGTCTTGGACATAGCCAACATAGGAATTCAGGTCAGTTCTTTGGGGCTCAAAAGCCCATTCTTTCCACTGGAAATAAATTTAAGTCCAGTAACTAAATGAATGCTACAGAAACATAATAAACAAGGCATATATGAGATAAAGTACAAAAATGAATACAATTTGGTCCCTGCTCAAGGGAAGCCCATTGTCTAATATGTGAGCAAAACAGACAAATGAGCAATAAGCCACGTTAAGGGTATTTCGTTGGGTTCTGGGTGCTGGGTGCTGGGTCCCGGACACAGAAATCAACCAAACCTATCTCTGCTCATCAGGATCTGCCGGACTGATTGGGAAGACAGCCATTATGAAATGCCATAATTAGGCTATGCCGAGGAACATAAAGGGGGCTCTGAAGCCCTCGATGATTATGTGGGCAATGAGGTTTCAAACCCTCTCAAGCAATAACTCCCTTTTCTTTTTAACAAGGATGCCAGTGCTTTCCAAGGACCCCAAGGCAGGCAGCCTAACCCTGTTGGCTTCCTTCCAAAGCACCGAGCTACAGCTTTTCTATGTGTTCATCCCTGTCCTGTGGTGGAATGGGTTGAATGAGTTGGAATCAGGATGGAAAGCTGGGAGGGCTGGAGCTGTAGGACAGTTACATTTTCCCGAGAACCAGAATAACACAATGGATCCATCCATCCATCTAACAGGCATTCACTGAGCAATAGGGACTGCTTGAAACCAGGCCCTGAGCCAGGTTCTGGGGATACAGAGAAGAGGAGGACAAGGCTACTGTTCCTAGGAGGCTACAGTCCAATGGGGGAATAGGCATGCACTCAAAGGATTTTCTTACAGTGTGTATATGTGCTGTCTTCTCTCTTTCTGTTATCTCCCCTTTTGCAGGAAAGAAAAAACCCCTCCCTACAAGCACCCACTTCTACGGGGCCCAGCCAGCAACCACCCCAACGGCAAAGGGGACAAGAAGAGCTCAGTGAACCACAAAGACCCTTCAAACCCTTTTTAAAGATGTGGAGTCCAGGGAGTCTTTGTGGAGGCAGGAACATGCATTTCCTGCTGGGACATGAAATTAATCACCCTTGTCTGGTTTCCAAGACAAGGATTTGAAGGATAATGCATTGGCTAGTGAAAGGGAAGGGGGAGAGAGAAGAAAGAGAGAAATTTCATCATTGATTTTCCTATGGAAAATCAATTGTGAGCCTTCGGCTCAAGGCTGAACACAGTAAGAGACAGGAACCAAGTGAAGGCAGCACTATTTTCCACAACATAGAGATCCACACACATCCCCTTTAAGAGGTTTGACACATCTCAGGTCATTTCTTTGGACGACCCTTTACCTTTTAAAGTCATATTGTTACTGCAGATGGTTCCCGTTTAAAATAGGTCACAGTTGTGTGTAGCTCTAGAAAATACAATATCCATATTTTCTGATCCGAAACAATAGCAACAACACATACAACCCCACAGGCAAATGTACTATGGGGACCAATGTGACAGAAGTTTTGAAATCACAGTGGTCTCTGTGTCTATAAGCAGCATGTTTCCTGATTCCCCCACGCCCCAGCATGCAACTTCAGAAAACTGTTCTGGGAGCTATTTCTCAATTTCTGGGGTAGTTTAATGAAACCTTGAGCTGCAAAGACAAAAGGTATTGGTCATTCTTTCCCAAACATCTGTATGGTTAAGGCATCCGAGTCCTTGGTACAGGTTTCAAGCCTGACCCCTGAAGAGGTGCCTCACTGATAATCTACTAGGAAGGAAGAGTGATTGCCAGGTAAGGGAGATGCAAACAAAGGAACGTACCCTTAGGCAGATAGAAAAGCTAAAAAAAAAAAAAACAACAGCAGTAGCAATTCCCAGGGTAGGGCAAGCTAAATATTGTGCATTTTTTTCTGAAGAGTAAAGTGCCTTTGTATGATGAATGGGTCCAGGGGAGTCCGCTCTCTTCCTGTCTGTGGAAGCAGCAGGCTGAGTCACTATGACAGCTTGCTAATTAAAATGACCTCCTGGAAATGAGGATTAGGAGATAGGGAGAGGAAGGAAGGCTCCAGGGAGATAGGGCCTTTAGTACAAAGCTCCAGTTAAGCATTCTTTTGGCTCGCGTTGGAGATTTTTGAAGTTCATTGCAAAAATCAAGAGCAAAGCTTGTACTTCTTTTACATGCTGGTTTTCAGAAACGATAACAAAAAACCATATGTTAGTTGGCTACGAATGATGTGTTGTATATACAGCTTCTCCCCTGGGCTTTTGTTGCCAGGGAACATAAATAAAGTGGTTTGTGCAGCTCCTCTGTTCCTGAGTATTCTTGGCACCTTTCCTTTTAGGTGAAAACCCTCTCAAGAACCTAAATTGGAATACTCCTTGCTTTGGGGTCTGGGACTGTATCATCAAGATAAGGAAGAACAATCAGACTTGAATGTCCAGAAGTTCCTGTGTCAGAGCCTTGGGGAGTTTCATTGATTGCAACTAGCTCAGACAGACAACAACGTGGCAGTCTTTCAGAGACAATAGCATCACTTTAGATAGCATGGACAGAGGCAGACTGCAGAAAACAAGAGAGATGATGCTCCAGATCTATTTTTCCCTGGCCAGGACACATTCATATATCATAATTATATATGGGCCCCATATTGCAAACTGCACTGATGAATTAGGCTATGGGCCACACAGATAACAGGGATGCTACTAGCTTAAGTTCAAAACTTAGAGACAGGTAACTCTGAGTTCTAATCTGGAATCCAAGCCCCAGTTTATCTCTCCATAACATATCTTTGCTGTCACTTTTAGACAAGTTATTTAACATCTGTGGATCTAGTTTCCCCACCTGTATGATGGTAATAATAGTATCTACATTCTTGGAATTCTTACGGAGATTTAAAGAACTTAGGTATAAAAAATATCAGCACAAAATTTTGTGTGCTCACTGAGTAATAGCTGTGACTGTATGGAACATGGACAGAATAATGAAGTATCTGAACATCATTCCCAAAAGCAATAGATGAGGAGCCTGGAGCTGTTTATCTTGTAGATAAAAAATAAGGTGCAAAATTATAGTTTCTACAAAGTTGCAGGGGTATCATGGGAAAATAGAAGAAAACTTGTTCTGTGTTGCACAGAAGTAATAACCAAGTCCTGGGAGTGAGTCTCAAGAAGACAAATTTCTAGTCAGGATGAGAAAAACATTCTGACAAATACAAACACCAACCCTTGGAAGGACTCCTTGGAAGACAGTGAGCTTCCCATCACCAGAAGTATGCAAAGAGAATCTAAATAAACATATGTCAGGAATAAAACAAAGGGAGCTCCTTCTCTAGGCATACACCGAATCAGAAGCTAGGATGGTCTGCCTATGACTCTGGAAAGAAATGCCATGCACAGAACAAAAAGTGTCACTTAACACTAGACACAACAACATTAAAAGTGTCTCTGAATTAGAGTACTATCATGTATCATTCTTTAAGCAGGAAAAAACAAGACTATAGGGTAGGCTGAGGGTTACTCTGCAATAAGACTGTCTGTCTTTCCTCACTGGCAGAGTAGAAAAGAAACAGCTAGCCAAGATACCAAGGACCATCAGTGGCCTTCCTGGTGATCTAGGCCTATGCAGTCCCTCATTATATATATATAACCTTTCTTGGACAAGGTCATACTACCACACTGAGCTAGAGAGAAAAGGTTTTAGGCCCAGAGATGGAATTCAGCACCCAGCCAACAAGGGAATCAGCCAGAGTCATTCCAACCAACTTCAGCAGGGGGGCTTTCCAGCCTGTTATCTCATCTCTACTTCTGAGATAAGAACAATTAAGTGGATAGAACCAATGCTCAAAATAGTTTCCTGTGTATTTCTGAGGACAGAAAAACAATTTTGTGAAAAAGTCTCTACTTCTTTCACACAACTCTTCATACTGATTCCGCGCCTTGTTCTGCATTAGTTCGGGGTCTCAAGGATGGACTAGATGTTTGTATATCTTCCAAAACTGTGCTGGACAGGCTGGAGGCTGCCCAGCTTTTCTGTTGCTGAAGCCCACCACAGAAGAGATGGGTCACCTGGTTCTGATGACGCTATTTGTTTTGCAGGAGATTTTGCTGTCACTTTTGATTAGGGAGAGTGGGAGGGAACACAGGATAAACTTGCATTCCTTCACTGTAACTCAACTGCTATATTTCAGGCCTGCTTTAGGGAATCCTGATCTATTTTTCTAAGGAGAAAGATCAAAACCAGTCATGGACATGTGGGGTGAGTAAATTTTTTTAAGCATGAATTCATATACCCACCAAATATACATATCAAAAATGTACTGTATGCCAGGTATTATGCTAGATGCTTTGTATCCACTACCTAAGTTGGAATTTTCAACAGTCTCATAAGGTAAGTATCTCCCAGATGAGATGAAGGGTAAAATCCTTTTTTATATGGCTAGTAAGAACCTGGATTCAGACACACCGCTCCCTTGCCATTGCTCCACAACAGGCTTTCTTAGTTTATCTCCAGGTAAAATCAGGTCACAACAGAAATCAAGTTACAGCAAAATAACACGTAAGCAATGGCACCATTTAGAGGTAGTAGGGGGTGGAGAGAAGGGAAAGGAACATGTAAGCTTTCAGGCTCAAAAAATATGTTAAAGATTTCAGAATTCTTAGCAACTGCTGCTGGAGGCCCAGCTTCTTCTTCTGTCTCGGTACCCACAGCTGAGTTCCTTCTGGGTCCTCCAGAGTCCTTCAGAACATACTGTTTGGGCAAGAGGTGCATTTATCATATGCTGTGAAGAAGTTTCTAGATCTCCCAGAATCCCTAGAAGCTCAGAGAGGTCAGTGCAGGGCTCATCCTGGCACCTTCTTGGTTGGTATCTGCACGCAGATAATCTAGCTCAGGTTTCTTACCACTCCCTCCTTCTAGAGCACATGAACTGAGCCCACTGTGCCCTTCCACTGTTCAGAATTCTTCCTCTGAGTCCCTGTCTCCTCCACACTACAAGGGCTTCTCTTGCGGTGCAGCTCAGCCAGTGAGGCAGTAGGGTTGGAGAGAACAGGGGAGAGATTATAACATAATAGGAACAGCTCAAGTGTAGTCAGACCCACGTAAGTGTCGATCCCAGCTCTTCCATTCACTAGCTGCATGGCTTTCAGCAAATATAACCACTTTATGTTTTAGGACCCTTATTTTAAAAAGACAGGGTGATTAACATATCTATTTCCTACATTATGGTGTGATTAGATATAACATCTATAAAATACCTGGGGCAGAGTAGAACTCTTTCCACAAACCGCTTTTATCCCCACCCCACCACTCACCTGCTTACTAGGATTAGAAATCCTGTAGTGCATACAGAAGTACTAACACCTCCTGAGTACAGGACAGGAGTGAGAGAGGTGTCCATAAAAACACAGTTACACCGAAGGGTCATATCAGGCCAGAGACTCAGGCTCTATTCATCCTTGTGGCCTCAACCCTTAGCACAGGTCATGTAGCGCAGTCTGAGCTCACTGAGCACACAATGAATCAATGATGTGGGTGGAGGTCATCTGCAGGCCCTAAACTCCTGGTTGGGGGCATTGTAATTTAGAGTTCTTAGCAGATAGGAAGACAGTATTACACATAATGTTTAACTGGCCTGAAAGAAAGCAAAATTAACAAGAGTCACAGGAGATGGTGGAGGGGATAGATTCTAAATCTTACCATGCTCTAAGCCAGGCTCTTTCTATGTTATTTGGATTGACATGCAATACCTGACGGATGGTCTCTATGAACTAACTATACCAAATGCTCTGCCAGCTGAAACTCAGGACTTCTCTGAAATATTCACACAATTATTAGCAATTTATCCTCTTATCACATTCAGGGTTCAGTTGGTAAGGGCTTGATTTCCTTGCTCTGAAGATAAAGACACTCAGATTAGTGTGATGAAGATCCTGGCTTACGGCTCACAGCCGGGAGGTAAATAGGACAGGACCTGGGCACAAGTCTAACTCTATCACACCACAGTGCCTCCCAGGTAAAATTAAAGCCTCAGCACCAAGCCTGGCCAACTCGGAGAGTCATCCCTGTGACACCTTTAGATACTCAAATTTACTGGTCCTCCAAAGACCTGATATTTACTTTTGGCTGACCCTATGCAAATCTTAAATTCAAAACTGTTACTTTCCTTGGGATCACTTGTCTTGGTTAATGTCCTCTTCCCATCTAGTTGTCCAGGCTGCAAATCCTGCTACTGCCTTAACTCATTTCTCTTCCTCTTCCCAGAAGCAGGGAACCAAGGAAGCAGGGCAGTTAAATAGTATGTCTAATACTGTCGTTATATTTGTTTAGAACTCTAGATTACAATGCCCCCACCAAGGGCTTAGGGCTTGCAGATGACCTCCACTCACATCATTGCTTCTGTCTCTATGTCTGACTCCAAGCAGTATAACGGAGTAACTTTAGAATCAGACAGACCTGAGTCTTAGCCTCACCTCTTGCCAATTGTCTTGTGAATTATTTAAAGCAGCATTTACTTTTCCGGCCTCTGAAATAGGACAATAATACCTATAGCAGGTTTTAAATATTATTACTGTTTCCTTGCCTTCCTTTGACTACCCCACGCTCTCCCTCCTATCCTCTTCAACATTCATCTACATGGATTGCTGCGCTGGAGCCTGATTGGCCTCCCCACATTCACATGCTTTCCTGCTAACCCATCATCCTAACCCATCATCTCCCGGAAGCTTCCAGAATCTCCACCCATGACTGTGTGTTTATGGTACCTCTTTCAAAGCAATTGCTTGAGCCAGGGGCCTGGATGTCATCCACTGTTATGTCTTTCAGGCCCCACTTCTGTTTCATTTCCAAGTTTCACTTGGTTATACCTTAGTCTGTCTCATCTCCATCTGTCATCTCGACTCCTCTTAAATAAAGAAAATCCTTCTCATTGTTCAAGACTTAGCTCACACATCCCAACTGCATGATGGCGTCCTCAGTCTTAACAGTTGCTTCCTTTCTTTTGTATGCCCCAGAGTTTTGTTTAGCAATCTGTTTATTCATCATTTCGCTCAAATGATTGTCAATTCCCTCCACTATCATTTCATTTGAGAGCAGAGATTGAGCTTTATTCACCTCCATATCTCTCACAGTACTTAGCACAGTTCCAGACAGGGCAAAAGTACTCAATAAATGTAGCAGAATAGAAGAAAAAATAAATGAATCCCAAATCCAAAATTCCATCCCGATCTCACTTTGCTACCTGAATGCTAATTACAGATTTATCTCCTTAAAGCACTGGACTCTCTGACCTATTCCACTGCTAAGT